CGGACGCAAGCTACTTTGGCGAGTTCCTCTTCACGCTGTATTAGTGCAGCTATCTGGGATCGGGATTATCAAGTTCGACTTGAGTCTGGCCCATCGTCAACGATAAATCCGCTATGCGTTGTTGCGCAGCGGATAGAGCGGGGTCATCCTGAGACGTAGGATAGCCGGAGGGGACCCCATAGGTCATCAGAGGAGCGTTATCCCGGCGAGAAAGCGGCGGAAGTTGGTAAGAACGGCAGTTCGAAAGAGCAAAAGCAGGGTTAGTGGCCTGATGTTCCTCCTACTGGGTTGATTGACTAGTGCCGTGCTTTGATAAGCGAGGTTAGAAGTCCTTCCACAATTGTAGCATCGTCCCGGCCGGTTAGAACTTTCTTATCGCGGTGTTGCGTTGCCTTGAAAACGACGACGTTGGCTGCTGTCGTCGATAATTTCTTTGAAAATCACCTCTGTTGTTGAATCTACTGAATGCCTTATTCTGCCCACCCACCCCGCTATGTAACGCATTTACTGCGGGTACTGGCTGAGCTGGGGTGATGAGGCGCTCCGCGGACGTCTCGCTAAGTAACTGCTATACCATCTGCGCCTTAGTAACTGCTAGTTTAAAGGTTGACGGGTTGTCTAGCTTCTTGAAATACCTGATATCGCCTCGCAAACTGGCCACGAACTCTTCCAAGACGCGATCTTTCTGAGTAGCAGCATCCTGTTCAGCTGTTGGTGTCCTGACTAGGTTGAGAACCCGGTTCGCAAGGACAGCGGAGGAATCCCCAGGCTTCTGACAGCAGGAGGAGAGTTTCTGACGAGCGACGTACTTTTGTTGCGGGCTTTCGAAAAAAGGTCTCAGATGCCTAGCTACTGAATCAAAGTCCGCTCTCATCGAGCCCTTCTATTTTTCCGCGAGCGACACTGTCTCTTATAACTCTTGAGATCTCTTACAGTTTTACGTAATTTCAAACTGATTTCCATCACAGCTCACAAATTTATATGACAAATATCAAGACTTATCAACAGACACTTGAAACTCTTCAGTCCAGCATCGCTGAGCTGAAAAACCTGAAACAGAAATGTACCAGAGCTAGAAGGTGTAGAAGAGCATAATTAGTCGTTCGATTACAAAATAGCTGTACGTCCCTTCTGGCTATTTCGTGAAATCTTCAGAGGGTCTAGACCCACAGTCAAGAAATATAAATGCAATGCAGAAACAGGGTGGGTGCGTTTCGAGCCTGTGCGCCCCAATGGCAAGGTGGGTGCGAAGGGCAGAGCCGCCATTCGCACCCATCTTGCCATTGGGGCGCACAGGCTCGAAATTGCCTCCTTGGCGCCACCCATTCGACTCGGTTTGTGAGCTGGGCAACTCGTTCAGCTGATTCAACCTGCTGACAATGCAGTCAGCCTACCCACTGCCCATTCAGCTGATTGACGCCCGATTGATAACACCGCTATAATTAAACGCCGAATTGAGCTACCTGTATCCTATCTAATTCTACCGCAAATTTGGCTATTTTTTCGCCCTTTTTTTGCTTCTCGAGACTTTTGAACCTCTTTTCAAGTGACTACTGCTAATTACAATGGAGTGGAAGTATCATGGTCGTTTTGGAGCCTGATACTTACCACTTTAAAGTAATTTGCGGTTCGTATTTTTGCTGGACTGATAGTGCGGTGAGTGTTTTATTGTTCTTTCTTTGAAAAACATGTGTCTGGCAAAATACTTATTTCTATCATTAACTTCACTGAAATGCAGATTATCGTGTGATAAGTGTTTCAAAATTTCAGACATGATTTCCAATTCTTCTTTCTTCACAACTTTTGTTAGGTCAAATTTATTTAAGCGTACTGATTGTAGTGTAGCATTGCTAGCATTAAGTTTACTATGAGGTGTAATTGTTCCTTATTTCCTTGCTGTGTGAGTGGTAAGTGCAGCGATTGGGCCCCATGAGAAGCACTACGATGAGCAGAAGATCTTCGTGAAGAACAAGGTCTCTTGATAACGACACATGATAATGGTGTTATCATCACTCGAAACATTTGCACCGCCCAAGGCATTAGTTGCCCAACAGTTGAGTCTTTATAGGGTATTCACTTTCAAAAACGAGAGCAAAAGATCGAGACCTCCAAAAGAAGGCGTAAGCACCGACTTACACTGAATACCATTTGCTCTTCTGTGTTGGTCCTTTGTACAGAAAAATATTATTTGTTTCAAAGGAGTGAAGGGTTAGTCGACTACTATAACTTTGTCAAAGGAGGGGGTATTGCAAATAGATGTCGAGATATGTATTCAGAAAGACTATTTAATAATGTGCATGACAGTAAAGTAAATGATGGAAATAAATAATATGATAAACAAATGTTTTTCAAAGAAGAAATAATAGAACACTTACCACACAATATATGTACCTCAAATTACTTTGAAGTGGTAATTATCAGGCTCCAAAACGACCATGGTACTTCCACTCCATTGTCACTTAGCAGGGTTGTTGATTCATTTGAAAAGGGGTTCAAGAATCTCCAGAAGCAAAAAAAAGGCGAAAAAATAGCCAAATTTGCGGTAGAATTAGACAGGATACAGGTATGTCAATTCGGCGTCTAATGACGTCTAGCGGCGTTATCGATCCGGCGTCTATCAGCTGAATGGGCAGTGGGTAGGCTGACTAGCATTGTCAGGAGGTTGAATCAACTGGACGAGTTGCCCAGCTCACAAACCGAGTTGAATGGGCGGCGCCAAGGAGGCAATTACGAGCCTATGCGCCCCAATGGCAATGTGGGTGCAAAGGGCCGCGCCAAATGTCTCCCATTTTCAGGTCCTGAAGGCGACGATTTAGTCGAAACGTCGACCAATAACGCGGTTCAACCATAGCAAACCTGTACGGCAGAGCAGTAAAGAACATTATGTAAAATGCCCAGGTTTCAAGAAGACCGAATGTGGAAGTTGAAACACAAAAGTATTGCAAAGTAATGCAGAGGAAAAACAGTGGTTGGCACTCAAAGTGATAGAAATTAGCCATCGCCGACTTGCGGTATTGATCGGGGTCCAGCACTGCCAACAAGTGGCTAGCGCCGCCGTCGATTGGATGCGCGCTCGTCTATTGCGTCGTTGAAGTCTGAAAGCTCTCCCTATGGGTGAAGGAGTATACGAATGGCATTATGATCCGAAGGCAAGCAGCGCTTTCAGTAAAGAAGTTGGAGCTTGTTGTCGGACTGTTTTGTTTGTTTTATTTGGTATTTGTCCGTTTGATACAAGGTTTAAGTCAAAGTAGGACTATTTTATCTCGTCCGTTACAATACGAGATACATATCAACGAAAAATCAATACACGAGGAATAAATGAGTAGAACAATGAACGGATGAGCCATATATCAAACGAGCAGCTCTAACTCATAGTTCATCTAATATTTCTGAGGGGCCGATCTATTTATTCATGTTTATATGGGTGTGCCCTATGCGGAAGTGTCAAGGTATCCCTTGGGATATGCTTCTTGCCAAGGACTCGCGTATCCCGAGGGAATGTCGTACCTTCAGATCAGAACACACTGAACAGCTCTCCACCACACGGTTACGACGCCATGACCGGCTATCCCCTTCATTTTAACCTCAGTAAGAAGAACAGTATTTGGAAATCGAACGCATACGTGCGCGTTAGCCAAACTGAAATTCATATAATAGCTTCCACTTTGTTAGCAATGTAACTTCCTTGACGAAGGTTCTTTTAGGCAATGAGTGACTAAGCAATTGAAAAAATACATTATCCGCGCTTTATAAAAGGTAGTGGGCTAACAGTGGCCATCAAAAAAGTTTTTTCATGATCATGACTCGATGGAGAGATTTTCGTTTGTGGAAACTTCAGTCTTCACATGTTCCCTCACATTTTCGTAAAGACTTGTTTGTGAACTACGGAAGGTTCCTCTATCCCATTGTCATGCTGACTTGAAATGATCTTGCGGAAATGCAGAAAAACCGCAAAACTTTGTTTATGTTTAAACCTGCTTTACTGCATCTCCTTTGCAAAATCCACTTCAAGATGGAGCGCTTCATTGCTGTGCACAAAAGCAACCCCTGTGACATTCCACTCAATACAGCTGCTGTTCCTCTTCAGGTAACCTTGCTTTGCTGCCCTGTTTTAAAGATGATTGAAAAAATAGGGTAACGGAACTTCTCACCGGTTGCGGACGTTGCGGCATGCGGCAAATCTTACTGCAATTGCCGTACTCATCCCTCCTCCCAGCCGATTGATAAGACGCAGTATTTTTTGTTGATTGCCTTTCTTTTTTTATTAGTTTTGTTCGTTTTTTTTCGTTTCTTTTTCGCTTTTATGTTTATTAGACTTGAATAATTAGAATAACTCCTCCTATATTAGCGACGGTCAAGGCCGCATTGGAATTGAGCGGCCAGCCAATTCAGATAATTAAAGGATTCTCCACATCACAAATTGCGCGCTCCAATCTTCCATCGCAATCCTGCGATACGCGGCGGGTGCGGCGTGCGAGACGCCGTTTTCGAGGGAAAGATACGGGACCCAAAAACATGTATTGGCAGGGGATCACGTCGATAAATGACACGTGCATGTGACAGACAGCCAGTAATCCTCTTTTGCGTTCAAAAAGAGGATTACTGGCTATGCTTTCAGATCCGATTGCATCCATTACTCTACTTCTCACACTAAAGCACGCCTTTCCCCTCTCTCCATCGGATGAGGATTGCACATCCCACGTTTGATTTGTCCTCCGAAATAACGAGTATACAAGCCAATTTGGTGCTTCCTTTCAGTACTTGCATAAAGTGGCTATGAGAATAAGTCTGTCATTGTTTGGCGGAATAAAGCTCAGTAGCCTTGGGTCCACATTATCTTACACCAGCTGGGAGAGGGGCATGAGGTAGGGTCACCACAGCCTGTGAGACAACTAGTAGGCTTAGGATGGGGTTGACGTCGTGTACAACAATATCATGTTTGTTAATGTTCATGCATTACCCCTCCGTATTTCCAGTGTACAACTGTTTTATTGTTTCAGAAGTTGAACTAGAATATGTTGATGATAATGGCATTCCTGTACCGGAGATGGCGGAGGAGGTCGTCATGGAAGGAGATTATGTGGAAGAGTATATTGAAGAGGTAAGGTTTCCCACTTTGGTGGTTATTCATTTAGCGGCATCCCTTATTTTTCATCCTGCAGTTCCATTGTCAGTACATTGTTGTTGTAAATGAAAGTCTTGACTCCATTTCTTTCTGTAGTAACCTTTACTGTTCAGCCAATGCAAGAAGATGATATGGCAGAATCTCTTGTGGCTTTGTCTCGAAGTGGCGAGTATCGTGATAAAGGTGGCACTGAATATGTTGTTGACAACTTAGAGGTTAATAACTGGTCTTTCAAATGCGTGATGAATTCCAGTCCTTCTATAGTTTTTATTACCGTCCAGAGGCGAAGGCAACCACGCATTCTTAGACGGTTTACCACTCAACATCAGTTTGCTGATCAGGGTTATGTTGAATCAAGGCATATCTTGCTTGATGAATATCGTGAGTTCTTTCATTAGTTTATCTCAACGGGAAGAAGTCTAAAATTTCTTCCCATCTCTCATCTACTTTTCGTTTCCTCCTTACAGTCAGCGCTTTCTGCTTATTTATTATCAAATTCGAATTTGATGAAAAAATAGCTGCTCGCTGCAAAATGAGTTTGAGCGAAAGGTTTTGAACTTATATCGGTGCAAAGTGGATTATGGGAGGCAGTGACCCACTGTGCGACCCGACAACGGACTGTGATGCTGGTAGAGGATGTTCCAAAATTATGGGCGCCAATTCATAGAACTGTATTTGAAGCTTCTAAGCTGAGAATGGCAATGGAATCTATATGCGTGTTTGCATACATTATGTGCTCCATTTTTTTCGCGATATTATCGAGCATTGCTTTCAAGGACTCCGAAACAGGATTGCAAACCCCACAGGTTCTCTTTTAACACTTTGACGACAGCGCGCATTTTTGCGAGTCTGTCCCGCGCGCCGTCTCAACGGTGAGCCGCGCTATCCTGTGGTTGATTCTTTGCCTATTATAAACGATTTTTTATTTTTTATTTCTCTTTCATGATTTATGATTTGATTTTTTTATCATTTGGTTTGAAATAGATGTAAATTAGGTAATTATAAGGTTTCTGTTATAGTTAATTCTAGTTTTATGCATAACATAGATTTGGGATCGAAATGGATCAGCCTGCAGTGGACGATTTGGAGGGCGGATTCGAAAGACTATTGGAGGAATCCGACGAAGATGGACAGGATCCTATAAGAAATGATTTTTCCGCAGTTACGCCTTTAGTATACTCATGAGTAATAGATCTGGAATAGGCTGGGAAAGTAGCGAGGCGTTATCAGTTATAGGCAGTGAAAGTGGAGACTAATGGTTAAAAGATGGAGGATTTCATAAGACTTAGTACTCGCTCAACAAGTTGTCCACATAATTGTTCATTCAGTTACCACAAACCAATTGGTGTTTACAAACTAGGTTTGAACAACTAAGCACTTCCGCTAGTTGTCGGAGAAACTAATAGACAGGGGATAATGACGTGTCCTACTTTCATGATAGATGATGTCGCGCCGAAATCAAAAAATTTATGGGATTATGCATACAGATGGTATTGCAAATGCCCAAGCTGAGAGGTATTGGAGCGCTAGACTTGCGACAGGTGAGTATTCAACTGCTGGGAAAGTAATGCCAAAGACTATACTCGAGTAATCAATTTAATCGCAACAGGCCTTACAAGATTATTGGTTCTCAGAACTGTTCAATGCGAGTGTGAGAAAGTCTACAGATACGAAAAAGTTTGCACTGATGAATCATCGGTACCGTTCCGTGGTAGAATAATTTGTAAGAAATTCACCCCCTTCCAAAAGGCAGAAGTAGGAAAAAACTTTCCAAGCTATGTTGTGAAGGTGTTGGAAATGGCGGACCAAGATTTACTTAGATAGACTGCCCACGAGCAAAGATCCATTAGCCGCATCTGTTGTGGTAATAAGTAATGGACGGACTCTTGAATCAAGGATATCTCTGTGCCTATAACTGGTACTCGAGCGTGCCACAGGCTGGTGGTTTATTGGAACATAACATTCACTTGTCCGACATTCAAAAACGCCGAATAGGAATATCATCAAAAGTCGAGGATAGGGAGAAATTAATAGTGCTTTTCTCAGCCCACTTTTTGTATAGTATCATTCTGGTGACTGTAAACTCTGTGAATACAAAAACTTCAAGAAAAACAAGGTCAAGAAAAGAGGCTAATGAGAAGGATGCGGCTCACCGTTGAGCCGCGCTGTCGTCAAAGGGTTAATCAGAATCCATACGGAGGAGCCAAGTGAGTTGAAATTTTGAAAGCAGGATGGCCATTCCTTTCTGCTAATGAAGTCGGGCGGCTAGCGTCGGCATCACTCCCGTGCGAGCTTGGTTCTATGAACTGAAGAACCTTCCTGTTGGAAGAACCACGGGCGGTTGCAGGAAGCGAAGTCAGATCTATTATTTAATCCAGTACGACCACCAGTATGCTATCCAAGTACACGGTTTTGTTAATGTTCGAGCTGGCACTGGCAAATCATGGGTAACGGAACTTCTCCCCTATCGCGGCATTCTCCCTTGCGGCATGCGGCAAATGTCACTGCAGTTACCGTACTCACCTCGCCTCCCGCCGATCGATAGGACGCGATATTTTTCCTTGTCTAGCTTGCTTTTTTATTGGATTTTATCGTTTTTTCTTCTGTTTCTTCTCAGTTTTCATGTTTATTAGACTTGATTAATTAAAATGACTCCTCCTAAGTAAGCGGCGATCAAGACTGCATTGAAATTGAAGAAAGCGGTCAGCCAATTCAAATAATCAAAGGACTCCCTACGTCACAAATTGCGCGCTCCAAACTTCCATCGCAATCCTGCGATAGGCGGCGGGTGCGGCGTGTGCGACGCCGTGTTAGGGGAGAAGTTCCCGGACCCGCAAATCATCGGCGTATCACCGTTGCCCATGACTCCCTCAATAGAAATTCTTGTAACAAACAATTAAACGGTTTTATTAACAATTTATTTTGCTGTTCTTGTAACAACTTTACCGCGAGTGATAGCATGTTCGACTTTTCTTGTTAGAGAAACGATGATGGGATGCTGTTTCTACTCATTTGAGTTAATAGCCTTCTGCATTTTCTGACCCTACTTTGTCGGTTGAGATTAGAAAAGAAGTGAAATTTCTGCATATGATAGAAATCGCAATAAAGCTTCTGCTTGAATCTGTCGCCTCAACACTTCGACAATTCCTGTCCCGTTAAATTCCTTTTGGTTAGTCACCAACGATCAAGAGAGTGGTGCTACAGAGCGGAACGCATCGGAGAGCATCTATCGCCGCCAGCGCGCGGTCGCGTAGCGGTTTCAGTTATTTCCCCTCTATTCCTCTGGCATTGGAGCGCGATATTGTTTGCGCGCCATTTTCAAAAATGCACCACGTGACATCTAGCTGCAAGAAATCCGGTGCCTCCCCTTGCCCAGGATCCCTTTTTCATGCGTCGTATATGTGGCGGGTGAAAATCTGGGCATTCAAATGAGGTTATGCCGTGAAGTAAAATGTATTGTCTGCAGAAATTCTGCAGAATTCGGAGGATGCTCTCGGGGACATTCCGCTCTGTACCGTCACTCCGATCAAGATGACTCACGAAGGAATATTTTGATAGTCCTATCTCTAGCAACACTGGCTTTAATTATTAACTATTATTATTAACCAGTTGGCAACGCACGCTATAGCGTGTGCTGGGTGCTCTAGCCATAAGGAACAGAGCCGCATCAGCTTCTGATTTTCGTTTAACACGTTTGTCATCTGATCTCCTGCCCTGACACTTCTGTAGAGGCCATCATTTTTTTATTTGGTTTCATTGGAAGCATGGATTTTTTTAGATTCACGTACAGGCGGACTGACTGGCAGCAGTTGAAGAAGGGGGTGTGGTGCGATTCACGCGTCAATATAATGAGGTCATCGGATGAGACGCGTTATATAATAACATCATGTCTACTATCATAATGGGAGAAATAAGAACTTATAAGTAACATAAGTAAAAAAAATGACCAACTATGCACGTTTACAGAAGGATTGCGTTTTCTAAGATCAAAAAATTTGAAGTTATTCTTGTTTTGAACGTTTGGCAAGTAAATTGTTGACCTATGAAGTGGGTTCTTAATCTCGAAGGGGCTTCATTGCCACAGTTAAGAGATTTGCTCTAATTCATGATGAAGCTTTGGACTACTGCAATACTTATTTGGTTTATCTCAACAGAAAGGTACTGAAGCGATGCTGCATGCGCGAAAATTATAATGGGGTCACGCGTGAATCGTGCGTCCCCCAAAGAAGGGTATTTGATGAGTAATAGAAAAGTTTGTCGTGCTCGTCTGGAGTGTTAGCACTGTATACGTAACACTTCATTTTGAAACATGCAGTTTATTAATGCAACGCTTCTTTATACACGATATTCTTCAGCAAGGACGACGTGGTCTCAATCTCGATCCCTTCAGGTGTCCTCTTGAGAGGGCGACGAAAAGCTGTCCGTGGGCAAACACTTCTTTTGGAAGGCAGATGCCGACTTGGCTAAAAGTCGGGCTTTGGGCCTCATTAATTGTCGTCGCAAAAGCTACAGGAATAGAAAATTCCTTTGAAATAGGCGGAAGAATAGAAAGTTCCTTTGAAATAGGCGGAAGAGCGTTCTTTTGTCCCAGTAATTGTCGATCCTTGGTATAATGGCTAGTTGACCATTGCGTTCTCCACTACAAAATCGACATCTCAAAGTAAAACGGCCCAATACTTCAATTTTGAGCCTTGTTCCATTGCAGAGTCGGTTGGCGACGTCTAGATTTCTCAGAGCATGACGATTGTGCTTTTCTTCAGAAGCAAGTTGAGTAGTGGCATTCTCGTCGGCGCCAAAGAGTTTAAGTACCCTACTGAGAAAAGCTGATCACTTCGTCCTCCAAAGTAGATCACTTCTTCTCTTCTGCACAACCTCTCGTCCTCAGAACTAACAACTTGGAGAAGATCCGAAACGTCTTCATTTAAATGGTTAGCGTGAATATTTTAGGTGCTGTTATAGCACACTTACATAGATGTGAAGATGAATCTCTACAGCGTATGCACCTGTGCAGTCGGGGTTACTGTTGAGGTGTTTCATAATTTATTTTCAGAAGTCGGCGTATAAAAATTTGAATACCTCTGCAGTCCATTTAGTCGATGAAATTCTGTGTAGATCAGGCTGTGTATGGTCATGAACATTAATTAGAGGATACCACCCTTGAGGGCTTTGCAGATCTCTACACGGTATAAATTTATTTTCGGGGTTACTCTAGAGGTCTTCCACAATTTTGCTATCTAGATTCAGTGGTGGAACCGCTTAAGGAGCTTCCGCTCGATAATATTATTTAATGAGAATTGTTAGTGGATGATTATGGCCCCGTCCTTCTCAGTGCAGACCTAGCCTACCATAAAAATTTGGTCACCCCTCTTTTAGCTGCCCCTAACCATCTTCTCCGCATTCTAAAATTGTTGTAAACAGAGTTATGAACTTTTGATCTAAGCCCCGTCCTTCTTAGTGCAAACCCTGCCAACTTCAGGGATTTTGCCACATTTCTCCCATTGCCTCCAGTCTCTCTTTTCCCGCGACCTGGAACGTTTCTGACCAGAGTTATAGAGTTTTGATCCAAGCCCCGCCCACTTCGGTGCCAGCCCCGTCCACTTCGAGGATGTGACCATATTTGTTCTATTACCTCTAACCACTTTTTTCCCGCGTTCTAGAACGTTTCTGAACATAGTTATAGAAATTTGGTCTAAGCCCCGCCCACTTTGTTGCCGGCCCCGCCCACTTCGAGGATTTGGCCACATTTGTTCCATTAATTGTGACTGCTTCCTTTCTCGTGTTCTAAAGAGTTTCTGAATAATGTAATGGAATTTTGGTCTAAGCCACGCCCACTTTGGTGCCAGTCCCGCCCATTTTGAGGATTTGACTACATTTGCCCCATTACTTCTAACCACTTTTCCCGCGTTCTACATTATTTTGAATCAAGTTACAATCATTTTTAAAAAGTGGCTTACACCTCAACGCACGCCCCGCCCATGGTGGGCGGGGCTTCGCCAAATTTACGCATGCCCAGCACGCATAAGACCTTGCTCTCTCTCTTTTTTCCTGACCTCAACGCCTTCGTTGAATCGAGTTATGCTCTTATGTGATATGTACCGCCCACTGCGAGAACGCTTCGCCCACCCGCCGGTGAATCTCCTTCATTTCACTTGTTGACCTATCCCTGACATTTGTCCATTTTTCCGGCGCCTGGGCTGTTTTAACCCCAATCCCGACATTTTGCTCAAGACATCGCCCACTGTCGGCATGCCCCATCCCCTGTGGGCGGTGCATCGCTGAGCTCACGTATGCTTTGTTGGTCTTGTCCTACGCCCAACCCATCCCAAACTTGACCCGACTTCTTTAAGTGCTTCTTCAGGTAATATCGATTTTCCGTACAAACAGACAAACAGACAGACGCGAGCGCTTTATATATATATATGGATATATATATTATATATATACATATATATATATATATATCAAAACTTTGGTGCCCATAGTTTTGATATATGCATATATATGTATATATATAGTTCAGGAACCTCTTGGGCAGAAATAATCCTCACACTTTATATATATATATATATATATATATATATATGTACATATATATATATGTATCTGCCCAAGAGGTTCCTGAACTTTGGTGCCCATAGTTTTGATACACCCTGTACATGGCGTGAGGAGGACGAATCATGGAGAAACGAATCGAGATTACCATCGTTAACCCTCTGTGTGGTAAATTCACGTGAAATGCGACGGACATTTGATATTGCATGGTGGAAAGCAGCGTTCTGTTCTAGGAGCGATCATTCATGGAAGCATTAATCAGATTATGCATTAATCTGGTGCCCTACATTCCCATGCACTCGTTGTTTTCGCCTACTCGGGGCCTGTAATAGTAGCTTTCTCATTCTGAGTATATGGTGTTTGTCAAGATTACTTTTATTGGTTTCCTTATTCATTAGTTGATTTATGAAGCCTATTTTTTCGTCTCAAATTAACAATTTATTTCATGTTTACCTTTCCGGAATTAATTGTGGCCAAATCTTCGGCAGTAGTTGCAAGCCTGTCTTTGTCTGCTCAGACAGTCTGTGCTCACTCCTTACTGCCTTTTTGATAGTGCTCTTCACGACTAGAAAATTACAGAGCCTGTTGCATCGGCCGGACGGGACACAAGGTTTACTCCTAAGTATCCGGTTGCTGTTGCAAGGAGAGCAATGCACAGCGCACGGATTCCGTTCGCCAGAAGTGACTGGAGAGAAGATCAGTGCAAGTGTGTCATTTCTTGTTGTTGGTTTTCATAAATGCCATAGAGAAAAAATGAAAGCTTCTTTGATTCTTTGAACAATTTTGTGGTGTTTGTGGTGGCTCAATGATTTTAGCTTTGAAATTCCTTGTTCGCTTTTCAATTTGTGAGATTTTTTAGAAAGCTTTTGGTATGTGATGTGTTCGAGTCGTTGCCGGAGCACAAGCAAGAGGTGTTTAAGAAGCTTATGGAGATCATGGGAACCAGCGTACCAGGGTATCGTTCCCCATCTAAACGAAAGTATCCGGAGAACTCTCCGGTGAGGGAAAACGTAAAGTCACTACAGCCTATTGCTGCACATTTTATTGCATATACCAGTGCTGCGTCTTCTGACCTATTCAAATTCACCAACAGTGCACGATTTTCCAGGAGAAAGGTAATGTATCTCGTCTTCAGGGCTTCTATGCTGACACTGACGCTGATTCAATCAGTGCTCGCCATGCACAGAAAAGTTCAAGATTATCAAGCTATGTTGGGGGTTCGTTATGTTTACTTATAGCAGATACCAAAAATTAGAGCGGCTAAGCCACGAGCTATAGCTTTTCCTTCTGAATTCTAAAATTATAGCACAGCTCAGCCCTAGATAATTGTCTTCGAATCACTGCAGAAATTGTGTAGGTACAGTGACGAAGAGAAGTTGTGTAGATACAGTGATGGAGAATTGAGAAAGGAAAGCTGTGCAGAAACATTTTATGATTCCTTCGTTTTGCGTTGTGCTTCACTTTGAATTGTTTCTTAAAAGAAGGTCGCCTTACTGATGCGCCGAGGTTTGTTGTCACAAGCCCAACGTCACGATCTACCCGAGTGCTAGCCATGATTCCGTTTGAGGAAAAGGTCAATGCGGAGAATGCGGATCGCGTCGATAATGCTGATATGCCCGAGTTGATACAGAACGATGTCCACGAGCAAGAACGGTCTGTGGAAAACGATGTAGATGAGGTAAATTCCATAGCGGGCAGTTTTATTTCTAAGCCTTTCATTGTGTCATTGTGTTCCCAGGGTGGAGATGTGGACATCGAAACATATGAAGAGGACACCTCACGCGAACAACGTAAAGGGAACTTATGGCTTGACAGTAAAGGGCGTGTCGTTGACGTGAGATCTTCCATTGTTACTCTTGGCATCTAATATATATATATATATATATATATATATATATATACATATATATATATATATTGCATTCTTCTGGCCGCTATGGTGCACAGATTGGTTGAAAGTCACGTACACAACCTGTAATTTTGACGAAAGCCCATAGTTTTTCTTATTGTGCAAAGATAACCAATGGGTCAATACCCAGCAGCATAAATCTGGATGTCATACAAAACCTTTCTACTCAAAGTGCTTTCGTTGATTAGAATTTCTGTTTTTTCTGAGCGCATTATTTAAGGTTGTTCCCGGTCGTGGTGTGGGTTACCCCGGAATGCGAGAAGAAACTTTCGGATGTCCCGAACTACGTGTTCTCTCCCACAATAAGGACGTAATGCTGTTTTTATAACGTTGTTGAAGTTTAGCACTATAAAACTATTTACTGTCAGGGACAGGACGAACGCTTTTGTCCATCATGTAAAATGACCATGAAGAGATCCATTTACTACCATCATGGACGCCTGATTCGAAAATATGGCCGTTGTGACATATTCACTCCGAAACGTTTTCCATGTGGATCTCCTGGAGTATGTTGTTATAATTCTTATTGGTTTTTTTTCGTTTCCCTTAAAGGCACCGTTCACGATAAAAAAGTGATTGAGTTCTTACCCTATTAATACTCAGCGACCCCCATGGGTTGTAGAAGGAACCCTCTCACTCCCCCAATCTCGACGTCCAGGGCATAGTGGCAGCCCCGTTGTTGCCGTAGTTCGCGTTCCCGCCCCTCGATCGGTGTCACGTTAGACGAGTGTCGAGACAATACAGATTGCTATTATTCGTTCTAGGACCCACGCACAATCAGCTAATCGCCGAGTGATGAGGCGACGTTTTTCTCCCAATCTTTTTTCCTCTGTTTTTCTTTTTGCTGCCGCGATCCCTTATTTAATTTCCTACTCCTAGAGGCTGAAAAAGGTGAGCTACTTNTGAGTTCTTACCCTATTAATACTCAGCGACCCCCATGGGTTGTAGAAGGAACCCTCTCACTCCCCCAATCTCGACGTCCAGGGCATAATGGCAGCCCCGTTGTTGCCGTAGTTCGCGTTCCCGCCCCTCGATCGGTGTCACGTTAGACGAGTGTCGAGACAATACAGATTGCTATTATTCGTTCTAGGACCCACGCACAATCAGCTAATCGCCGAGTGATGAGGCGACGTTTTTCTCCCAATCTTTTTTCCTCTGTTTTTCTTTTTGCTGCCGCGATCCCTTATTTAATTTCCTACTCCTAGAGGCTGAAAAAGGTGAGCTACTTTTGCTGTCACTAGGGTGTTTAAGTTTATTTATGCTTATAAGTGAATGAATGTTTTCTTACCGTTGTCTGTTATTCGCACCAGGACCCACACTCGCGCAGTGAAACACACTGTTTAGCTCATCCGGACACCCCACTCTTCTTCATTTTTCTGGTTTCATTCTCGTCTAGCCCCCTTTTTAACGTTTTTTCGAAGCCTTTTTTCACTTTGGAAATACCGATGCACGCAGTTTCTTCACCTCAGTTGCACTAGTTTCGATCTTGTCTTCCATTTTTCATCATAATCTGGATTACACAAAATTGTCGTGAACGGTGCCTTTAACCCATCGCGTACCGTGGGGTTTCCGTGCTGGCTGCCGCGGGTGCCCGGCGCCTCTTTCGTAATCGACGCGGAGTGACTCACGGTGTGCAGCACGCGGCCACACAGCAGTTTTTTGCAGCGAATCGCAAAGTATGTTCTGTTCGAACTTAATTTTGGACTCCAGAGTAAATTTGCACCCAAAACTCCTTTTCAAATGAAAATTGCTACAATAGACAGCAATGGACGAGTTGAATCAAGCATTTTACGATCTGCTTATCGGAAGTGGTGAAGAATTTCATGACGTGAAGGAGGGAATGTCTAGGACGACATGGTTGTGAATGCTGTGGAGGCAAGTGAGGAGTCGGACTGGAATTCCAGTGATGAACGGTCGGATTCGAGCGATGAAGGGAGTCAATGGTTTTCAAGGCTTACAAGGGTTTAAAGGGGTACTGGATAGAGACCTTCTAAGCTATCAGCATCCCGTCCAGTTTTTCCGGAGATTTTTCGCAGACGAAGTTGTCGAGTTGATCAGAAGAGAAACAAATGGATACGGACTCTCAAAATATTCTAATTGGACGGACATTGGCGCAGAAGAACCGTTCAAATTTCTGGGTATTTGTTTCCAAATGGGGCTGGAGATCAGTTCGCATTCGAAGGGTTATTGGTCCACGAGGAAGACATTTGTTAATAATACTATTACTACTTATTATTACTGTGGTATCAGAGCCCACTCCCTAGACAATAGATTGATTTTTTCTTTGGCATTCCCAACAGGAACCTGGCTTGTACGACGTGCTATTTCTTCTCAAAGGTGCTCTATAAGATTCAGGTCTGCGCTCTGACTCGACCACTCCATAACGTTGATTACCTTTGACTTGAGGAAGTCGGCCACGAGTCGGGAAGTATGCTTCGGGTCATTATCGTGTTGAAAAATCCGCCGTGTGAGCAGGTTTTGGTTGCCGAACGGGAGCATTACATTCTCCAAGATGTCCTTGTAATTACCCTGAATATGAACGAGTGGGCCAACGCCGGATAGACTGAAACATCCCCATAGCATAACGCTTCCTCCACCGTGTTTGACCGCCGAATTTGGTACCTCGGATCCCATCGCTTATTTACGGGACGTCCTATATACATTATGCCATCACTCCCGAAAAGACAAAACTTCGACTTGTCGCTGAACAAAACTTTTTTCCAGTCATCTCTGTTCCAGGCGAGGTGCTTGCGCGCAAAGTCAAGTCGGGCCTTCCGGTTCTTTGCGGTGACCAGTGGTTTTTTGCTAGGACGTCTTCGAAAGAGTCCTCCGACTCTAAGCCGACGTTGGACAGTGCTTTGGGTGAAAGAAATCCCAGAAAAAAGATGTTACTTCTTTACGAGTATCCGAAGCGGTCGCGCGCGAATCGCCCATCGAAGTCCTAAGAATTAGGGAGTCGACTCTTGGTGTTGTCTTTCGTGGTCTTCCGGAGCGAGACTTCCTCATCACAAATCCTCGGCTCCGATAACGCTTGAGAACCTTTGAAATTGTGCTTTTAGCGAGATTATATTGTTGGAAAAGCACACTCATCTTCGTTCTGAAACGAATGGCTTCAATAACTGCTTCGTGGACGGATACTGGAACTTCTTTACCTGATCCCATCTGAAGACCCCTCAGTATACCATGCTTTGATTGAACATTGTGAAAAGTCCACCAACTTGGACAAGTAGAAACCAAAACGGCAGGTAGCGAGTTTCCAAACTTTTGACGAGCTGTTCTTCGAAGTTTTCTTATTTTAGGAATCAGACTTTTGATTTTTGCGAAACCAAATTGCATGCCATATTTCCCACATGATTTTCAATGATGTAGCTAGCCTTTCCTAAGTTTTTTTTTTGCATTTCAGTGCCATGAAAGGTTAGGAACTCTCGAAAGACTATGTGAGCACATGTTTCAAGTCCACAGAGCTCCAACAGACATCAAACGGAAGGTGTTTGAAAATGAAGCTCAGTTCGAAGTTGGTAGATTTGATTCAATATCCCCTTACATGTTTTTGTATTGCTTTTGATCCATTACTTGTGCAATTTAGGAATTTTTGCGTGAACTGGAGAGCCGTGGTGGCAACTTCCGGATGTCCAGGGGCAACAAGACTATCAAAGAGGGGATTGTTCAATATTTCCGTTGTAATAGAATATTCTCTATCGCAAAGGATAAGGCGCTGCGTATTGTTGATGATATAAATGTTTGTTTCTGAGATCTATGACATTTTCTTATGATCGGGTTCAAGCGGTTTGCTCGAGTCCTATTTTTGAAGGCAGGCACATACGAGGCCATCAAAGACATAACTCAACCGATGGATCCCTTTGGAAAGGAAACGAGCACAAAGCCATACCTTCGTACTGAAGAAGCCTGCACGGCGTTTTTCAGGAAAACATATCTGAATGATGGGTAGGTGTCGATCGGTTTTGAACCTCCAGTGTGATGTGGTACTTTGTGTTGTGAGAACAAGTGGTTTTTGTTTTTCTTCAGTACTATAGAAGTTCGCTATTGTGACTATCACCTTCATGGGGATGAGAGGCTTCGTCTCCCTACCGCAATTCGTAATCGCATCTATGAGATGACTAAGAAGAGGCTACCATTGCCTGTGATCGTTATGGTTCTTCAGAGTAAGTTCGGTTTTGTGCTTAAATTTACAGTTTTTGTAAACGTTCATCTTTAGGAGAGTGTCATAGGTTCTGCATGCCTGGGACAGCGTTGGAACGGCGAATCATGGCTGTAACTCCACGAGAAGTCCAGTTGGTGGCTCAATCAGTCCAGAGGCGGCTTGATTCTGCTTCAAGACGAAGTAGACTTTTGCGCTTATGGCTTGCGTAAATTCACTTTTTTTTTACTACCCAGCACCATCACCGTTAAGTACTGCATTCAAAATCTTCATTTAAGAAAGGATAAATGAAATTTCTGGAAATGGACGAAACGCAAATGGAGGAGAGCGAAACGAGGGTGAACATGCGCAGGATCGGGAAGATCATGAGGCGGCTGTGAATCTTCTTGAGCCAGCTGAAGCTGATGACAGTCATGAGAATCTGTTAGAAATGCAAGAAGATGGCGGTGGAATTCAAGAATCTGCTCTCGATTTCTCATCAGAGGGTCGAGGCGAAGGTGCCACTTCGTAATCGATTACCCAATTCAGTATCTTCTCTACCCTTAGATACCATATTTGATTTCTTAGGAGGAGAGCTGACGGAGTTGGAGTTGGCGATGCTGGAGGAGTACGAGCAAAATCGGGGTGTTATCCTTACAGATTTCCAGAGTATAAAGCGCGAAGAGAATAGGAAAAGGTATAATTCCTTTAATTGCTTAATTTGTGAACCATATGATCAATTATGTTGTACATGTACTACTTTGGAAGAGTCCTTCATAATCGAATAGTAGTCCGCGATATGTCTCATGTGGGGTCAGGCGATGTAATAACACATTTTACAATTCCTAACGATATAATTTGCCTTTACATAATACTTCTGCGTGCGTAACGGGTGACATTATTTTGTCTCTTTCTTTAGCCCTTTCTCCTTTGGTCTCTTCTAGTTATAGGGTAAAATCTGCTCTAATCTTCAATGGGTATCGAGAAATTCTTTAGTTCTCCACGCGTAACGTGTACAGAACGGGACTAGGGGGCGGATGAGGCGGTTTAATCGCCTTCATTTACAAGGGACAACTTCCGCACATAACTTCCATGGCAGTCTACTACACGCACTCGGCGACCTTGTAAGTAGGTGGTAGTGAAATTACTATGGTAGTCGTAGTCGCTTACTTTAGAATGATGTGATGTTCATGTAGCGGAGACGAAGAGGACGCTTCCATTGTAGAAGTTCCACATTCGTTCCGTTTTCTCAGTGTGATCACTTCATCACATCAAGTTAATGTTGTCATATGATGCGTTGTTGTAAGTGGAGTAGCGCGGTCAAGTCATTTCATTTCAATTCAAAGGTGAGGCTGAGTGAACGGTTAACTATGAGGATGAGCTTTTCGGAACAAGAGAGTTTGGGATGTGAGTTCCGCTTTCGCGGGGAACAACGGTACAAACATAGGGTGCTACCTATTTAAATACACACGCGTAGCAGTCTGCGCTTGCGTACTACTAGTAACTACCGTAACTCTACGCTCACTTTTATTCAACTTGGAGGACTATTGTTGCGTTAATTTCATGTGTTTTAGGACTTGTTTTAGTTGGTCAGCTCAATCCTCGATTCAAATTGGCCAAACTGTTCTGGAAGAAGTCTTGGTTACTGATATCTCCAAGCATGTAGTACTTGGAACCACTCGCGCTGCTTTATTCCGCAGCTAAAGCTCGCACTAAAGCCGAAATTAGGGTAATAATAGGTGAAAAATGTGCTGCGTGTCTGAATTGTCATCAAACATTGTATTCTTTATTCACTTTTGTGCCTCAAAGCAGTGCAGAATAGTGGTGAATGGGGAGGGGCTATGTGTGTTAGCATATCAAGAAACACAGGGTTACCTGTTGTTTCGTATTACGCCACTGACATGCAATTTTTCAACTAAACCTTAGAAGAGAAGGATCATCGGGCTGGCCAAGTTTTAGGCACTTCGCCCGAGGTTACCATCGCACCCACCCCGGTACCCTACCCTCCTAATGCTTTGTTAAAAACTGCATCCTCTAAATGGCTAAAACCGCATAACAGCGCACTGATGAACGCAGCCCATCCTTTCTATACTAACGTTTACTAAGAGTGCCCCCTCCCCCTCCCGATGCTTCAGTTGAAGCTTGTTATAACAGTGTATATGTTAAGTCATGAAATAACTTGTATGTGGCCAGTATGTATTGGGATCAAGTATGTTTCGAAGTCCGACCAGCGATCTTGACTTTGACAGTTGCTGGCTTCAAAATGTTTTTCCTCTTCCTTCTCTAATTATTTCTTAATGCGGCAAAATTTCTAAATCACACAAGCAATATTAGTTCAGCTGAGGCTTCCAGACTGGACAACGGCCAACGACCGGTCAACAGGCAACGACCGGACAACAATCAAGCAGTTGGCGGAAATGCGAAGTGATCTAAATTAGAACCCAATGTGCATATGCTCATTTTATAGACGCGCATTAAAGAAGTGATCACAATGAAGTGAACCAAAATCAACTGAAACCAAATGTACTAGATTTATAACCCTAATTTACGGCTTTAGTGCTAGCTTTACGTCGGCAGAGCGAAACAGCGCTAGTAGTTTTTGACCAAGGACTACATGCTTGCAGATATAGGTAACCAGGACTTCTCTTGGAACTGTTAGTTCAAAATGAATTGAAGATTTGAGCTGATCAACCAAAGCAAGTCCTCAAACACATGGATTCAGTACAACTATCAGTTCTCAAAATTGAATAAAAGTAAGCGTAGAGTTACGGTAGTTGCGAGTTGTACGCAGGTGCAGACTGCTACCCGTGTGTGGGTTACAGGACCGTTGTCAACCGCGTGTGTAGTGACTCAGCGTTTTTGTCGTTTTCTCTGCGTCTCCCCAAATAGGCATTTCACCGCGAAGAGGATAGAGGGCAGACGAAAGAGGTGGCCATTCCTCAATCCCTCCTCTTATCATTGATACAATAAGATACTTAGCGAACACTGTCGGGTTAAGATCGAATCAATGGTGTTGCAATTCTTCAAACGATATTGTTAATTTCAGCGCTGATTCCCATAAAACAAAGTAGCAAATGGATTGCAAACTTGGGTTTTCTACTAGCCACATAGATTTTTCGCGGTGTAGATGTTCTATACAGACGTTTTATCTATATTTGGATAGAGATCAAGCCTTTGCTTCTCTCAGACTATCTGAATTCCGAAATAAGAAGTTTCCTCAGTTGGAAGAAGTCTGTCTTTCTGAAAATTCTCCTATTCTTGGACCCACCCGAATGTCTACTCTTGACGAAAGAGCGCTCTGTAGGAGAGTACGGACAACGAGGGGACACGCCCTCCTCCCGCTGGTGAACACCGGACGCAGAAGTTGCCTCGCCGTCTGATCCTCTCAGCGAGAGAAATTCTGGTTGACAACAGCCCTGTAACCCCCGTGTGTGGTTACAGGGCTGTTGTCAACCAGAATTTCTCTCGCTGAGAAAATCAGACGGCGAAGCAGACAGACCAAACTTAGTTGTGTAGGCGAGTTATCTGCTGAGGAAAAAGCTGATAAAGTTGTGTGTTCGCGTTGTTCAGCTGCTTTCGCTCTTTGTTTGCCGTCTGTCGCAGCAGTGTCATATATGGTAGAAAAGGAATCTTTTTTTTTGTAGTTGCCTGCTTCACAACCATTATGTTAATCGGAAAGTAATTAGATTCTTTAAGTGTTTCACAGAAAAATTTCCTCCATCAAACGAATCCTAATCCGTAATGCACACCCAATTTTGTTCGATCGTCTTTTGTCATTCTTCTGGTATCACTTCTCACAGAACTTTAGTTTTTTGGCTGAAAAACTGGACCACATTGGGGTTGTAATCCTGATCTACAGTAACGGTCTCCTATTGGAGTTCAGCAATGTCGTGGTGTTTAAATAAGTGGTATTTGGATAGCGCGATCTCAGAGCTATGTGGTAGATGCAATATTAATTCCCAACCGGGCTTTGATAATTTTTTCCGAATCGCCAAAAATGTATGCGTTCTAGCCTCGTCAGTTAGCATAACATTACTCCTTTGCCACTTGCTAATTTTTGGCCAGGGTTTTTTCGAGTGCTCTATTGAATTGTGATAGATGGAGGTCCAAATTACCTTTCTGTTTCCTTGGAGGCACTTTAAACTGTCTCTCATTTGTTCCACTCAAATTACCAGCGTGACGTCCTTCTCATGAAGAACAGCTTTGGAAGTCGTTCCAGCAGGTTCATCCGGTTGTTGTCATAGTCGTTATAAGTGGCACCTGTTTCGACTTGACGTTTCGCTAACTGTTGTTATTTCGCCGCAGTACGCGTTCCGAAAGTCTCACAAGGTTGGCGATTTATGGGACAAAATTTCAGTCTCGGACGGGACTTGAACCCGTTCTTGTGTTTTCCGAACACCGTGCACCATCCCTGTAATCAAAGGCAATCAAACTTCTGAAATGCCTCTGACATAAGCGTTTGAAAATTCGTCCTCAGAGATCGTAATTACTTTCCGAACAATCCAATAGCATTTCATAATTATTCCTGCAACACATGCATAACGTTATTTCACGTCTATGTCACGCACAATGCGTGTACAACGTTGTAAGCAAAAGTTATGCCTTATTGACAATTAGTAACCTCACTGGCTTGACTTACTTCAGATTGTGCCGAGAACGCGTGCGAGCTAAGATTTATACGCTGGGTCGCGCAATGAGGGTATGCTCATTATTGATTTTTCTTAGCAGTTGTTTGCTATTTTCTGTTTGCTTCTTTTTCTACAGTTTTGTTTCGTTTCGGAACCCAATCTTTCTATCGAAACAAATTAGTTTTCAGAATATTCAATTCTCTGATTTTGAGTGTGACCTTCTTATCCGATCTGAGCAAATGTTAGAAAGCATTGTGGAGTTGTGGAATGCACGAATGGAAGCAGCATGTAAAGGAAATCAGGACAAAGAGCTACTTCAGCTGCCTAAGCATGAATTGGTTTCTGATAAACATGGATCAGCACCCCATAAGGATGGCAGTAAGGAAGCTGCAACTTCTTCACAGGGAAGGGGTTCCGCCGAAGTGGTAATGGTAACGGACAGCTCTGCTGTTGCTGCCTCATCTGAACCGACCGATGCTGAAAATTCGACTAGATCAGAGGTACTTTGTGTGTTGTTTCCTTACTTAAATGGGGTTATTGTCGTTTAGAATATATGAAACCACATCTGAAAATTAGCTTGTAGGAGTTGTTTTAATTGTAAATTGCTTCTCAAGGTTTTGGTTAATTGTAATAGTTGAAGAAATGGTTGACTTCAGAAACATCTGGAGCCCGTCGAAGGTGATGCTGCGTCTGAAACCACACCATCAGCAGCTCCAGCGAGTGCGAAAACTATGAGGGTGGGTCGTAGCAAATTGCTTTCCAATTTTTTTTTCAGCAGAAAACTCCTTAAATTTTCTTCATAGGTTGGACTTTCCGATTGGAATTATGTTTCAGTCATCACGGGTCAGGACTCGACGTGTTATTCGCTCAGAGAAACAGATAAAAGAAGAGTACCCTTCCCATTCGCCTACACCCTCGTCATCGCCTCCAGCACAGCTTGCAGTGTCCAGACTAGGACGTGTGATTAAGCGTAAGAAGATATTGGATGTATGAGTATTGTGTATAGTTTTCTTCATTATTTTCTTATATGACATTTTCAAGCAGTCATGTTTACTGATGTTGTCTCTAAGAAGCTTTTCTTCCTATTAATTTTGTTCTTTGTTATTCTTAGTTAGCAATAAATGATGCCAAAAGACACATCAAACAGCTTTATTGAATTAGGCTGGACAATTTTTTCTCAGCTTGGAGGCATAGTTAGGTTTTCTAGTGCTCGTTTTCTTTGAATTTTGACCAGATGGTGCATATCCGTGATGCAATTAATCCTCAAATAGCGACCAGCAAGGTCTTCAACTCTGAAGAGGTGAGCGTCATAATGTAGAGGGCTTCCAAATCTTCAACGTTCATGGAGCGGGTGGCAGCTGTCGTTGCTGTCCCCATTGCTAGATATTGTATATTAGGGAGTGAAAGGAGTTGGAAATAAACTGAATTGGTTGCAGTGATCAGTGCCACGCGGGCGTGTATATATCACACAATTATGGGTAATTGAACCTCCACGAAGTTACTAAAAGTCATAACAGAGTGACTTGATAACTTCAAAGTACCGGGCTGAGGTTAGAGACAATAGAGCGACAACAACCAGTATAAACGCCATGTAATACGTTATTATCGGCCGTAGTAAGAAGACCACAGTAGTAAGTACACAGCACGATAGACTAAGAGCTGCTGAGTAGCACTAGGACCACAAAAAAGTTTTTTTGAAGAGAGGGAAGGCAAGTTTTGCGTGAGATGATAGGTATGAGCAATCATAATGGTGATGGCAGAACCATGAATCGCCTCATCGCAAAAGCTTCTAGTGAAAGACTCCGACCCGAACCAGGTTCTTGATCGCGTTCTCGGTCTATCTGTAGCGGGAGGCTGTCGTTCGGTGCGATCCCTGTCATGGCGGTGCCCATTCGACGCGGTTTGCGAGCTGGACAATCGTCGAGGTGGTCGGGCAACCCACTGCGCATCCAGCTGATAAAAGCCCGACCGATGACGCCGCTACTATTGAACGCCGAATTGTGGGCCTGATTTATTCTGCCTATCAGCGTGGCGTCATCGATCGGGCTTTCATCAACTGGATGGGGAGTGGGTTGCTCGATCACCTGGACCAGTTGTCCAGCTCTCAAACCGCGTCGAATGGGGGCGCGATGGCTAACGAAATGCACCCATCTATAGCAGCTTTGGCCAGCGATCACGATCACAGTGTGATCGATTCTTTGTCTGGCTAATCACTGGCACCGATTTTCGCTGGCATCGGGAGCTATGGGGACGGGCGATTCGTGCGATTGTGGGTGCGCGCGGCGAAATTCGGTGCAATTTGGACGACTGCAGCGTTTATCATTGGGGCCCCAATTTGAAGTAAAGTAGGTCAGTAGGATTGTTCGACGCTACTGAAGTACTCTACTTCAAATTCGTGCCCTAATGATGGGCGCCAGAGTCGTGCGAATCATCGCGAATTTCGCCGCGCAATTTGCCGCGCGCACCCAGAATCGCACGAATCGCCACACATCCGCAAGCTATCCGCGATGGGTATGTGAACTCACGTGCGTACGAGGATGCGCGCGGCGAAGTTCGTAATGATTTGTAACGAGTTCGTAACGACTTTAGTGCCTATCATTGGAGCCCAAATCCAAAGTAGAGTATCGGCGTTGTCGCATTCGTCAGGTCCTGAAAGCCAAAAAGTATTTGAGATTCATCCGTATCGAACACCATTTCAGACTTCAGTTAGTTCAAGTATAACCTACAGATATCTACAAAGGACTCGTAAACCACAACTGGGAACCCACCTTGGATATAGAGAAGTTGACATGTGGACCACCTTTCAAACTGCCTATTTAAATGTTTCCGCAGTGGATGGGCTCCGGGTGACCTGACCCCCGACTTGAAGCAGGTAGCAAATGTAGCCCACACAGGTCGAGGAGTTGGGCGAGTTCATTTGTTATGGACAGGCATTTGTCGAATGCCTGTTCATAATCGCCCCATTCCGGTTAATTTTGGGGTCTTTTGCGCAGATCCAGAACGCTTCCAAAGTTTTGCGCGCGGAGGTCCCGCATCGAAATCCTGACTGATACTTCAAACTCTACGTTTTCGTGGCATTGCCTACGATGGTCTCCGAGGAGGGTTTCAGGCCTTGATTTCTTAAGACCAGCTAGGTGTCCCGTGATCCTACATATTAAAGGCCGCCCGGTCTCACCTATGTATTCGTCTCCGCAGACCTCGCAAGTGATCGAATAGACCACCCCTGACACCATGCGTTCCCCTCTCGCCCGTTGGGACAGATGACACAATGGGGGGCTATGCAGAGACGGTCATACAAACGATTTTAAACCAGCTTTTTCCTGAGATTAGCAGGAGGAACTTCGACCACCCGCACCATGTCATCAAGGCCACACTGCGCAGAGCCGTTCTCCGTCAGAACTGACGGAGCCTGATACGAAGGGAAGGCAAAAAGTCACCTTATCCAAACTTTCGCTTGTATGCTCATGTGGTCTGCTAAGAGGGGGGGGGGGGGGGGGGGGGGTGGGGACGTCTGCGAAGGCAATGTTCCTTTAAAGGATACCCATTAGTAATGGCCACTTCTTGAGCGAGCTCTACCGATTCTGCTGCCTCGCGATCACCTGATGAGACAATTTTTGCTGCCCTAAACATGTTAGCTGTGATGGCCTGCTTGGTTTTGAGAGGATATTAAAGAAGACTAGGATATTCTTGCTGGTGGGTTTCCTACACCATTTGTTCCTAAGAAACCCTCGTTCAAGCTTAACTTGCATATTGAGGAAGGGCAGCCGTGTGTTTTTGGGCTTTTCCCGTGTATCTGATATTTTCTGCTTTAGGTGTTCAGCAGCTCGAAACACGTGTCCATTTCCTTCTGAGTTGAACAGGTGACAAAGCAGTCGTCTACATAACGGCAATAGAGCACAGGTCGGCGATCCAAAACGGGCCTTTCTATTTTTGACATGTAGACAATGGCTAGCACTGGTGCCAGCCGCTGGCCCATGGCTTATCCCCTGACCTGCCTGAAGTAGTGACCAGGCCACCTGAATATAGAGCAGTCGAGGCATTCCTTGACCAAAGTCATTACCTGGGAGACAGAGAGGCCATACATATTTATCGAACCCGCATGTTCTTTCAAAAGCTCGTGGGTGGCCTGCATGGTGTCCCCGTTCAACACGGTTGTGTAGGGAGAGGTCATGTCAAATGATTCCATGACGTGATTTCTCCTGAAGCGAGTCTCCCGCAGTTGGTCGAGGAGCCTCCTGGTATTACTGAGGTGGGCGGGGAGAAATGTTAAAAATTGGGTAACACGAGGTTCAGCAGCCATGATATCCTATCGGTATTACCTCCTACGTTGCTTATGATGGGGCGGACTTTGAAGTCCGAGGGATCGAGGAACGAAAGGGTGTTAGGTGAAAGTTTATGCGTTTTTATAAGGGCATCGAGAACTGGGCAGACTGAGAGGTCACGCTTTAAACGTGTGCTTAGTGATTCAGGTGAATCTGCTCTATGTGCTATGTCCAACCAAACCCTGTTTGAGCGGCGGTACTGATTTTTGTATTCCCCCTCTGATGGTTGCTTGTAAAAGTCCCATCCGATTTCCCGCAATCCGTTTCTCTCCCCTATTCTTTAGACCACTGAACCCCAATTCCACCGTTGATGAAAAAATTCCGTACAAAATACATACAAAATATACAAAAATCAGTACTGCCGTTCAAACAGGGTTTGGTTGGACATAGCACATAGAGTAGATTTACCTGAATCACTAATCACACTTTCAAAGCGTGACCACCCAGTCTGCCCAGTTCTCGATGTCCTTACAAAAACGCGTAACTTTCACCCAACACCCGTTCCTCGATCCCTCGGGGCTTAAAGTTCGCCCAATCGTAAGCAACGTAGGAAGCCCTACCGATAGGATATAATGGATGCTGAACCTCGTGCTGCTCCAATTATTAACATTTATTCCCAGCCGGCTAATGACGAGGCTACGTAGGGCGTCCCCAGGTGGCGGATAGGGGAATTAATCGCCGACCAAAAGTCACCGGTACTTGCTCAGAGACGCAGGAGGGTTCGAGGGATGGACTCCTCAATTTTATTGTGCTGGTTCGATATACCACCTGTTACTCGCAGGCGTATCCACGCATACGTCTGTGGAGATTCTGCGCTTGCAGTTGGTATCCTTCCCATCGACTCAGCCAAAAGCTTGCACTCGAGTGAATGGGAAGTATCTGGGAGGCGATTCGGGCCGCCTCCAAAAACAAAGCCCCTCGTCCACTACAACTTCGGGATAGCCTAGCAAGCCCCTTCAAGTCAACCTAGCCCCCACGTCAGAGCCTGGCAAGCTGCACGTCGGGTATCTACTCCCCAAAACAGTAATAAAAATGGGCCTCATTCCCCTGAACCTGATAGAGGCCCCAATACGGCAGCGTTGGGTAGGACCGCTCGGGAGCGGCTCTATAATTTTAGGGCTAGAACAAGCTGCCCAAAAGGAGAACGACTAAGATGACGATCTGTACTTTCAACGCACGGACGCTTACATCGGAAGCGTGTGTAGAAGACTGATGATGCAAGATCAAGTACGACGTCATCGGACTGACCGAGACGAGAAGGCATCGCCCACTGCACGCTGTATTTGAGGCTGGACAAGGGCTGTTCCTTGGAACATGCGACAGCACAGGCGTCGGCGGCGTAGGTGTCCTCTTCACTTGGCCATAAACATCGATTCGTACGAAAGCTTAACAACCCGTATCGGACGTTTGCGATCAAGAAGATGTTGGTCAACCCCAGCTATTACCATCTTCGTTGCCTACGCACCAACATAGGGCTACGAAGAAGAAGAGTTCGAAGTGTTCAATATGGATCTGAAGGGGCTCTACAGAGAAGATTACACTTTCTTCAAGGTCATCGTCGGTGATTTTAACGCCAAGATTGGCCCTAGAAGAACGGCTGAAAAGCTTCACATCGGGACTCACGGAGTGGAATGGAATGAGCAGGGTGAAAGGCTGTCCGAGTTTATCATGACGACCCACACCATCCATGGTATCTCGCAGTCCCAGAAGCACTCTCATCTGAGATGGACATGACAGTCACCTGGTGAACAGTTCCATAATGAAATAGGCCACATCATCTTCAATCGGAGATTTTGCCTGACTGTCGTCGCTGTTGTTCCAAAGTTCTACACGGGATCGGACCATCGCCTCCTCCGCGCTAGATTCTACTTCTCAGTGCGTGGAGAGAGAGAGCTATGAAGTTCAGGAAACGAAGCCCCAGAACCTCCATCAACTGAGACCACTTCGCTTCCCTTGCGAGTAAATGGGAAGATTCCGCTATCGACGACATCGAGGAAGAATACAATTGGCTCACCGAGCATCTTCACGATAGCGCTAGGAAAGCAGAGATTCTACAAGTAGCCAAGAGACGACTCTCTTCGAGGACTCTTGAGCTGATACACCAGCGTGGAATCGCGCGAGCTACAGGCAATCATCAACGAACGCCCGAAGTTGCGAAGCTATGCAGGGAAGCGATAAAGGTAGTTCTGAAAGAGAGAAGAGCAGCAGTCATGGACGGAGCCGCCGAGGCCGGAAAGAGCATTCGCAAGCCCGACGGAGCCCATTCGCCAATTACAGGAACAGGATGACTTCCCTTCGTCGTCGTGACGGAACCGTCACTACATCCCGGAGGGCAATGGAGAAGGTCATCTACGACTTCTACTCGGATCTCTTCGGCAGCCACGTTTACCTGCCTACACACCATCTTAGGCAAGACGAATATATCGCTCCTGCGGTTCTTCCTTCCGAAATACGACATGCCATCACGTCGATGAAGAACTGTACAGCGCCCGGTCTCGATAGGATCAAACCAGAACATCTGAAGAGTATACCACCAGTCATCATCAAAACTCTGCTAGGCTCTTCACACGGTACCTGTCGGAATGCAAAGTGCCCACGTCGTAGAAAACTAGCAAGACTGTGTTGCTGCATTAAAAGGGAGATCCAGACGATATTGGCAATTACCGCCCAATCTGCCTGCTGTCTGTAATCTACAAGCTTTTCACTTGTGTCATCCTAAACAGGATTGGCAGAATATCATAAGAAGGACAGCCATGCGAGCAAGCAGGGTTTCGGAGAAGGTTCATCACAATCGACCATATCCACACTCTTAGAAGACTCATGAAGTATCGCGAGAGTACAAAATGCTGTTATGTCTTACTTTCATCGATTTGAAGAAAGCTTTCGACACCATTGAGACAGAAGCGGTAATTGGAGCCCTGGACAACCAGGGTGTTCCTTCTCATTATATAAGCTTCGTGAGTTCTTCAACAACTTCACGACCAGGATCTCGTCATTCTATGAAGAAGTCATCATCAGCGTGATGGGAAGAGCTCGACAGGCCGATACCATTTCGTCCAAGCTTTTCGGTGCCTCTGTCGAGAATATCATGCGTCATTTGGAATGGGAAAACTTGGAGTGAAGGTCGACGGCCGCTACATACATCATTCCCGCTTTGCAGATGACATCGTGCTTATAACACCGAACATCGAGCAGGCGGAACGAATGTTTGCCGAGTTTGGAATCCGGAGTTTCGAGCTCCGCCATCTAACGAAGATCAGGGATGCCTTTGATCACGCCACGAAATCGAAGATAAGGTAGGCAGTACACGTTATGCGATATAGTGATGACCGCTGGACCAGGGTGATTGCTGATTGGATCCTTCGGGACGTCAAACTAACACCAGAAAGGCCGCCAACGAGATTGTCAGGATTCTTCACGAGAAAGGAATGCTGGGCCTCGTCTCTGAAGTGAGGACGATTCACTGGACCACTCTGGCTCGTGACAGGGACGAGTGGAGATATTACTGGCACTCGCTCGATGAAATCGATGAAAACTTCTTACCGCTGTGATAGCACATGAGTATGAATAAGGTCGCAAAACATAGTTCTGATGAAGAGGGTGATCTATCCTTACTATATATAAAGTGCTCGCGTCTGTCCGTCTGTTTGTTTGTTTGCACGGAAATTCGATATCATCTGAAGAAGCACCTACGAAAGTGGGGTTAAGTTTAGAATGGGTTGCACATAGGACAAGACCAACGGAGCACATGTGAGCTTAGCGGAGCTCCGCCTACAGGAAGCGTGCATGCACGACAGTTGGTGGTGTCTTAGGCGGTATGACTGAGTTAGATTTCATAACAGCCCAGACGCCGGAAAAAAGATGGGCAGAGCTGAGGGATGGGTTAACAAGTGAAATGAACGGAACTCACCGGCGGTAGGCAGAGCGTTCTCGCAGTAGGCGGTACTTACCACATAAGATCATAAGTCAATTCGGCGGAACCAAGGGTGCCAGGAAAAAACAAATGAAGTAAGCAAGGACTTATGCTTGCACGTAAACATGTCGAAGCTCCGCCCACAGCGGGCGGGGTGTGCACTTAGACGTTGGGTCCTTCTTGAGAAAACTCATAACTCCGTTCAAAGACGTTGTAGAACGCGGGAAGACAGTGGCAGGAGACTATAGAAGGTCGTTTATCATCCAAGAGCGGGTGTGGTTAGCACGAAGGTGTGCGGGGCAAATATCAGAAATTGTGCGGTGTGCGGGGCCAAGCTCGAAAATTCATAACTGTGACTGAAAACATTCTACTACGCGAAGAAAATTTTTTAGGGCAGCTAAAAGAGGGTCGGTCGAATTCTCATACGGGGTCGGCACTGAGGTGGACGTTTCTATGTAAAACCACTGATAATTTTGTACGAAAGAAATATAATCAGTATCATGCTCTCAATGCGGGGTTCAAATCTGGAGTTAGCTATTTTATTTTGATAATCCACACTGCGCTGAATGACTCCATCGCGGATTCACTATCGTGGAAATATAATGCACGAGTTGGCGTGCATAGCCCAACGGGTTATATATATACAGGGTGTCCCAAAATTATTGGCGCCAAGATTCAGTAATTTTTAAGGTAGAAATAATCTATCAAATTCACATTACCTGCTATTAATTATTTGCATGAGAAGGTTTCCTTGCAACATGCATGGTTACCGATGTGGAACTACCAATATCTTTCAGATGGAGGCCCACTTTCAGTCATTGACACGCGAGAGATGGAAGAGCATTATGAAATTCTTTGGAATTTTTATAAAAACTGTATAGGAGGCTATTGAATATTTCTAAAGATAGAACTATTAAAATGGTCCGTCTGCCAATCGGTCGGGATCCTGGGTGACCCATCAAATTGAAGTCAACGGGCACGGCTTATCCGAGTTATCGCGATGGAAGAATGCCATGCAGGAGCCTCACTACCATTCCTATCGTATGCTCCAATTCCGGTCTCAACAGACTCTGCAGGGCCAAGAAATGCAGAAAGCCGCAGACCCACTTGAGTGATGACACGCAACCCTTCGTCGTTTTCTCTGACCAAAAAATTTTTTTACGATAAAACTATCCCTCAACAACCAACAAAAAGGTTGCTATCGGAGCAGTAAAATTATGTTTTTCGAGGAAATTACTGGCAAGGGTAAGCCGCTCGTGGTTTCTTCGGTGCAGGCGTGAAAATTGACCAAGACCAGTACTCAAACAGCATACTGATGGAAGAACTGAAGCACTGATCAGGCTTCGCTTTCTGAAACATCTCGTAGTCCTTCCAGCAAGACGCTACTCTAGCCCACAGAGCCAAGCTTGCCCGCGAGTGGTGCCGACGACAGCTGTCCGACTTCATTGGTGAAGTGGAATGGTCATCCTATTTTCCAGAACTTGACTCACTTGACTCCCACGAATGGTCCCTGATCAGAAGAGGATCTGTCGAGTTTGCAGTCCCAGTTTGGAGTCCTAGAATGCAAAAGCTGGAGGACGGCTGGGAAGAAATGGAGAAGGATACCTGCGTGCCACATGCGATCAAGTCGAGAGCAAACTTTGACTTCCCTCCGCGCTCATGGGGGATACTTTGAAATGCGACTGTAGCATTTTGTAGCACATAGTGTTAGCTAGCGTGCATAGAAATTCCATCGTCTTTCGCAGTTGAGAAGCTTCAAATATATTGCTATAAATCGGCGCCAATAATTTTGGGACACCCTGTATATCGTTAAATTGCATTTATTTTGACGATTCGAACAGTATGCAGTACAGCTGTGTAATTCGGATCGTCAAGCGAATAAACGGTAAGCAAGAATTAACGAAAGGCTAAGAGAGTAAGAACATGCCTGCATTCGAGTTTGTTCGCTGAGCCAAAACTATTGCAGAAATGGTGGAGGGGCCAGGGTTAAGTCAGGTTGACCAGCTGGCTGACGGGAGAAGAAGCCCCACAATTTCTGGAATGCTCCATAAAAACGTGTAAATCTCTCGATAAGGGACTTTTGCTTCGAAACTTTCAAAACCCTCGAAGTTTTCCCATCACCAGTATCCCGTGCGATGGTTGGTCAAACTTCTCTTGGATGCTCCGAATGACAGAAATGGTATGCCTTGTTTATGATACAGTATCCTTGTGCCGTCCGAGGTTGTTAGGTAGAACAATTCACTGATCAGGCCTAACGTTTCGACGTTTTCGTCCTCTTTAAAGGCCTATAGCAGCTCGAGGCAATTTGAACAGTATCCAAAACCCCGTGGCGAATGTGACGGCGAATTCAAAAGTCATAATTCGACCTGTAACTCACCAAGGTTCCACCGCTCAAGCGGATATAAAAGTCTTCCGCCACGAGCGACTGTCAGTAGCGAATGACACTTATTGGCTGTCTCCTTTATACTTAAAAACGAAAAAAAACCCGAAATCCTTTAATGTACTGTAGATATATCGATGACGTTTCATCGTAACATCAACACAGTTCGAAATGGACGAGTGTTTTCGAATCATGAACGAACAGTCGCAGTACATTAAATTCACTCGAGAGGTTCCACGTGATGGTCCCTTAACTCAGGTCAAAGTATCCATTGGCGTTGTTAGTGTGAAATGGTACCGTAAAACTAGTTCTAAGAATATCTTGCTTCACGCAACATCAGCTCATCCACAGTCCGTTAAACGTGCAGTCGTCACCAACATGTCGAGAACAGCAGCAAGTGTCTGCACGTGTGAAGTTGAACGACTTGATTCCCGGCGTTTAGCTTGTGAGATAGCTGCTGTGAACGGTCATACGGTGTCACGAGGTTGTAGAAAATCTCGCACTAATGCGCAGTGTGCTAAGCCCCAAAACAAGTTACCACTATGTCTTCCCTTCATCTCCGATAAAGTTAGCAATGCTATACTACGGAGCATTTCCAGAGCTGGCTGCAAGATGTAGTGAATATTCCTAATAACAATATCAAGCACGCCATGGAATGCCGGAAATGTGGGTCAACATACACCGGAGAAACGAGAAGATAACTAGTTATACGAGTAAAAGAGCATCTA